CAGATTTCAGATGGGGAAACTGAGACTCAGAAAAGGCAATTCAATTTTCCCAGTGAACTTTACTAATAAGTTGAGTCATGACTTTTTCTGGCAGGAGCATACTCCAAGCCGGCCATTTGTAAACAATGGACACTGTGGTTGCTTTGTTTATTTTTCCCAGGAGTAGTTACAGATTGTGTTAGGCCAACACACAGTCTCTTGCTAGTCCCTGGTGATCCAACACAAGCTGGCCGGCCAACTTGACACAGTGGACCCCAGCTCTACCATTTGGAATCCAATCTCTGACTTACAAGCACTATCACCTCAACCCAAACTTGCTTCTATATCAGAATTGAAGGTCTGTGTACAGAACCTTAAAATCTGGTAAGGATCAGTTTATTGAAATTGCACATTCCTGAAAATGCTGATTCACCTTGTCTGGGGTGTGACACTGGAATTTGCACTTTTATAAACACCCCAAGTAGTTCAGGTCTGCAGGCTGCACTTGGAGAACTCTCTAGCAGATGTTGAAGGGTGATGTTTTGGTCACAGAAGGAAATTTCTGGACTTCCTAGCTCAGAAGAAGAGACATCAAATCAGTATCAGGTGAAAGCCCGCTCCGTTCTGGATCTGCCATTCACAGTGTTTTAATTGCCTCTCTCCTTTCTCCCTGACTGCTAAGTCACACTGCCCTCACACATCTGCACAGACACAGAAACTCTTCAGGACTTGGGTGCTGCAGTTAGCACAGCTATGTCATTATGAGCCTCTTACCTATTGTTCTTACCAAAGGTCCATTAAAATTCCTAAGATTCAGATATTCTAGCGAAAGATAATAGTTAACATTTATCTGGGGCCAGATGTTACAAGCCCACATTTCTGTTTTAAATACCCATCTTCAGGACATGAGGACACAGACCCACACACAGAGGCACCTTTTCTCCTACGGGAATGTGTTAATTCTCAGCTGTATGTGTTGGAACGAACACGGTGCTGCGAAGGCAGAAGAAGGCAGGAGAAGGCTGGCCGGGTGCTGACGAAGAATGGTCTGGTGCACAGAGCCAGCCACACAAACAAGAAACAACTAGTTTTTTCAGAAGTCGCACATGAACATGTGCAAGATAAAAATAGAGTCTAACCTTCACAGATTGAGGAACACTCATGTTTAAATGTTGACTCTGTTGTTTTCATGATTTGATTCCTGGAAGGAGAGCTTGCTATTTAGCTAGATGGAAGGGAAACACCGGTGCCCTTTGCATTTGCTCCTTAGGATGCAGGCAGCACACAGATCCCTCACCTCCTCTGGCGTACCTCCAACTTTTCTTCATTCTCTGGTAGGTACAGGCAGCCTTTGTTCCCCTAATCATCAGAAAAGATGCCCGAAAGCCAGAATCAGGTCTCATATCTCTTCTCTGTCTCCTGCTGGATCCAAAACAATGTTATCTTATTGTCACCAACAGTTATGCCCCTGTGTGTACCAGGCCCAGTGTGAAGTGCCACTATTACATCCCTGGCCTCAGAGATTCTCTTTCATTCATGCAAAAAAAAAAAAAAGTCTGGAACATTCCCACAAGGGATTGGTCCCACCCTCAAGCTCCAAGTCCAAGGACAAATAACTCTCTCCCTTTGCACTGTGCAGTCCCGCTCCAGTGGGGACATGTTTGGGCCCTCCACTGTGAGGGCAGCTGTGGCAAAGAACCACAAATGGGGTGATTTAAACATCAGAAGTTATTGTCTCATGGTTCTGGATGCTGGAACTCCAAGAACAACGTGTGGGCAGGGCCGGGGCCTTCTGAACGCTGCGGAGGAGAAGCTGCTGCCTGCCTCTCTCCTGGCTCCTGGTACTTGGCTGACAATCCCTGACATTGCCTGGCTGGCAATCTTCAGAGTCTCCTGCATTCATCTGCTTACGTCCTGTGCACCTGTCTGTGTCAAAATGTCCCCTTTTACAAGGACATCAGTCATGTTGGATTAAAGGCCCACTGTACTCCCAGCGTGGCTTCAGCTTAAATCATTACATGTGTATTAACCCTATTTACAAATAAGGTCACATTCTGAAGTATTAAGGGTTAGGATTTCAACACATAAGTTTGGGGGAGTCATAATTCAACCCATAACACCTACAAACAACTAAAAATAACACATCAGCGCTAGATGCACAAGCTTAGTGGCATCTCCAGGTGGAGAAATGGACAGAACTTTTGATTAAAGGCATGTTTGGGAGAGCACGGAGCATTTGGGGAGCTGCAGGGCAAATTATGGACTGATTGGGGGGCCATAGAATGGACTGGTGGGAGAAGAGGCCAGAAAGGGAGACAAGGGCCAAACCATGGAAGGGCCACATCACAGTGAGTGTCCTAATCTGAAGGCAATGAGAGGTATGGAGGTTCTTCTGCAGAACACCCCACGCTGGAAAGCACACTCTGGGCGGGCACTGAAATGGGGCCAGATGGAAAACAGAAGGACCAGTCAGGAGCCTGCTATCAGAGTGTAAACAAGAATTTGGGGGCCTGGATATGTTCACAAGTGGTAAACAAGGAAATGGAGGGTGGGGGGGTTGCCATGCATGCTTTAACAGCAGTCAGAGACAGCATAGGTGTGAATTGAGGGGATGTGCATGAGGCTGGGGAGGAAGCCACAGAGCACCCAAAGATAAGCAAGAACAAAAGTCTCCTTTCTAGGAAGGGTAAGGAGAGATTTAGACACGCCTTGAGGATTGTGGCATCTAATTTATTTATCCTGCCTCTAGGCTGTGCCTTCTCCCACCACAAGCTCATTCTCTCTGAGCATCTGACTTCCATACACCTCGTTGTCTTTGTCCTTTAGAGTGCAGGGAAATGTGCTTAGACAACCCCCAGTGCATTCCCTGAATTGACCAGTCTACTGAAGGAGTGTGACTCCACAGGGGGAGAGAATTGAAGTCCTAACTAGGACTTCTGTGGCTTGATGACCATGTGCTTGGCAGTCCAAGAAAATGCAAAGCCATTTGCCACATAGCTGTTGCCCATGCAGCCCTGGGCGACACCCGCTACTCCATCCACTGCTGTTGAGTCCCAGCTAGACACATCTTGATGTGGCAACGTGTCTCAGAAACTGGAGAGCAATTAAAATTTAATTCCAATATAAAAAAGAGATGGTCGAAGAACCTCTAAAAATACCCAGCGTGAATATCATTTGGGGGCTTCTGAGTTAAGCTGGGCATTCATGCCACACTGTGTTCCTGGAGATGGTGTCTTCCTGGCATCTTCCTTCTCCATGTTTTTCTATTTTTGCCCCACTTGTGAAAATTACCTAAGCTAGTCCAATGTACAGGATCCAAGAAATCCTATTTCTAGCATACACATCTCTCACACTTAGGGACAATGTGCTGGGGGCTGTTCTAAACAAATTATTTACTTGAACTCATTTAAGTTATACATCAGTGTTATGGGGTAGTTATATGATCTTATAGATGGAAGGTACTGTCTACAAATGATCCAGATTCCTCCCTTAACCAGAAGGAAGAGTTCTGAACCCTTAAGTCAAAGTGTGTCCTACTGAGGGTTGACACCAGCAAGGGAAGGAGGTGGTTAAAGAACGGAGTTAACATATGGGGGAAGCTCTGCTGCCAGGCCTACAGCTTATGGCAAAGATGTATTTTCCTGAACATTCTCCAGGGTGGGGTCACCGCTGTAATCAGACTGGCACTTCAGTGTCCCAGCAGCTCATTAAAGAGAAGAGCTCGGAGTTCAGGCCTGAGCTCCTCGGAGTTATTCTTCCTCAAAAGGACAGTGGGGTGGGGGAGTGTAAATGACCTCACAGGACACCAGGAGAGAGTCTGACATGTGTCTTCCAATGATTCATTTGGGTGGACTAATTTCACATGAAGCTAAATGCAGAAGTTCAGAGCAGGGTCATGGAAGGCCTCTCCCTGCTTCAGTGCAAGGAAATGTTCTTCTAAAGCACAGAGATGGACTCAAACTCCATGCAGACGGGAAATCACCAAGATTCTAGGTAAAACGGGTGCTTTATTTCTAAAGGTCAAACTATTTCATTCACCAGGTGGATGTTTTCCTGAGAGCCTACTGTGTGCCAGGCACATGCCATGGACTCCTTGTGGATCTGGCATGTGCTCGGTGCTAGGACGAGAAAAGACAATAAAAGTAAAGTCCTACAAATAGCTGGCAACTCGTGCCGGAGAAAGATTTGCAGAAAACTATCTTTTTTCTCCAAAATAAAAATAAAGGACACACACACACATGCCCCTCGCGTTGCTCAAAATGCCTGAGCTGAGTTTGGAGCGGGGAGCGCGGGCGGCCCGGGGCGGGGTCCGAGCCAGAAGCGGGTTGGGTGACCAGGTGGAAGGGCCGAGCCGGCGCTGGGATCGGGAGTCGGCCGTCGAGCTGCGCCAGAGGCAGGTGCCAGCTGAGAGTGGGCGGAGGCGCGGGCGCCCGGCCAGGCGGGGGAGGCCCGGCGCTACCTCTGCCTCCAGGAGTGGGGCGCGCCGCCCAGCTCGCCCGGAGGACCCGGGGGACACGGGCGTCCCCGCCGCCTGCAGAAGGCGCAGGGGGAGCAGCCCCGGCCGCCGGCGAGGGACACCATCCTCCGGAGAGACGCCCCGGGCGGCCGAGCTGCCCAGCTCCTCCCGGAGGCGAGCGCCGCCGCCGGCTCCCCGCGCTCCAGCTCGCCTCGGCTGCCAGCTCCACCGCCCGCCGGCCCGCGGGCGGCACCGGCACCCGTGCCCCCGGCCCTTCACCTGCTGCGGGCTCCCGAGGGGGCGGGCGCCGGGAGAGAGAAGGTGCGAGAACCCGGGGCCCGCCGGGCACCGTCCCCGGGGCTGCGCTCCGCGCCGGGAAGGACCGCCGGCCCCCAGCGCGAGCCCGCGCGCTCCCTGCACCGGGTCTCCAAGTTCAGGGGCGCCTCCCCGCCAAGCCGGGCCATCCCCGCGCGGTGAGCATCCCGGCCCCACCGACCCCGGCCGGCCCGCGGGACTCCAGGCGGTTCCCGGGGCCCCGGAGACGCGCGCGCGCCCCGGCGGGGCCATGCCCGGGCTGCGCCGGGACCGCCTGCTGACCCTGCTGCTGCTGGGCGCGCTGCTCTCCGCGGACCTCTACTTCCACCTCTGGCCCCAGGCGCGGCGCCAGCTGCGCCCCCGGGAGCACCCCCGGAGCTGCCCGTGCCCCCGCCGCGCCCCGTCCCCGGCGCCCGACCCGGCGGCAGCCTCCCCGGACCCGCACCCCGCGGCGCGCAACTTTTCCCCCGCCGGGCCCCGCGCTGCGCCAGAGCGCGGCTCCAAGCTGCAGGCCCTCTTCTCCCACCCGCTCTACCGCGCCCCGGAGGAGCCGCCGCTCCTGGGGCCGGAAGACTCGCTCCTGGCCAGCCAGGAGGCGCTGCGCTACTACCGGAGGAAGGTGGCCCGCTGGAACAGGTGAGGCCCCCGCCCGCCCGGCCCGCGCGCGCCGCCTCCCCGCGCCCCGGTCGCGCTCCCCACCCTGCCGAGCCCCGCCCGACCCGCGGCGGCTTCGCCCGCGCCCAGGCCCTGGCACCCGGCTGGGGGTAGGCACCCCCTGACCCCCACCTGGATCTGGGAGCAGGGCCCCAGGGGGTCTCGGTGCGGGAAGTTTCTAAGGAGCGGCGCACAAGGGCGCCCAGCCCAGCTCCGGGGGCGCTGGGTCACTCCAACGCCCCACTTCTGTCCCCTGGGCCATCCGCCTCATTTTCTGTCTCTGCGTCCTGATGTGGGCGCCCTGCTGGACTTCGGGTTTCCAAAATGAGGTTTCCAAACTCCAGAGCTGGCTGCGTAAGTTTAGCACTTACCTCTTGCTTCCAGAAAGCAAGTCAATTAATTCCCTGAAAATCCAGTTCTGTTCCTTAACTTTCCAAGGTCAGAGAGCCCCAAGAGGTCAGAGGGCAGAGAGCATAGGGTCCTTTTCCTGCGAGGTCACCTGCTCTGTTCTGTGTAAACGTGCCTTGTCCCTCTGCGGAATGGGAACTGCTGGAAGGCAGTTTTGTTATGATGGTGATTGGGTTGACTTGGATCTAAGATTTGATGCTTGTAACTTAGAGGCAATAAAAGTCCACCTGGGTGTGTTTAAAACCCAGTGTAAGATGGAGAAGAGAAAAATTGCATATTTAGAATACAATTATGAAGGATGTTTTTGCAAAGGGGGAGGGGTAGAGGAGTTACTGCCATAGGGGGATCCTGAGACCCTCCCCCACCCTCTGCCCCCCCCACCCCACCCCCAGCTAATGGCAGAGGCTTCCTTCCAGTCTGGAATGGTGTAAATATCACTCGCATTCAGAGTTCACATTTGCGCCACACCCATCACTTTTCTGAATACAAGAGATTTCAAACTGAGATTTCACCTGGTGGTTTCACAGTCCCTCTAGAAGATGGGCCACCGCAGGTCCCTGCAGAAAATCAGCATTCACCCACCCATTTTTTAAGGACTCTGCAGTGCTCACATTGCATGGAGGGGAAAACATCCTTCAGAAAGTGAAAAGCGAAGAGGTCAAGCTATTGACTGAAGTCACTGTGGTGAATTTCAATGGCGTGCTATGGCTGATGATTTTATTTTAGAAAGAGGATGTTGGATGGCCCACAACTGGTGGTGCTAATTGTGAGCCGGGGAAAGGCATTTGGAGGTTGCTTCGAAGACTATGTCGTTTTCAATATCACTGTCATTTCATCAATAACGGGAGCCTGGAGCAGTGAACTGGGATCATTTTCTCTTAGAAAGTGATCTACATGTCTCTTGTGGACCTGAGGATGAGCAACGCCATATGTTTTTGTAACCGTAGCTGAGCATTCACTTCATATCACTTCTGTGGTCTTAAAGGTCCCTGTGTTACATTTGATCCTGAAGGAAAATCCAGGGGAATATTTTGGCAGCAGTGCAAAAATCTTCCCCAGCAATCTGTCCTACAGTTGATTTTGCACTTAATTTCTACACCATTCTGCATCACAGGAACACAGTGACAGCCCAGAAATGATCTTGGTCATTTAGCGAGGATCGCTCGGTGGGGGCTGGTGACCTTGGGTATTCCGAGATAATGGAGTCGCTCTGTGCGGTTGGTTGAATGTGACAGTTGTGGCATTTGCTCATCACTTCCTTCTGGTGCTGGAGATGTCTAGGGCGGTCTGTCGGCTGTAGCAGGAAAGGTCAGCGACACTTAGGAGTGTTGAAATTGGACCTCAAGGGCAGGACACCCTGCCTTCACTCAGCCTGCACTGTAAATGCCAACACAATGATGTTAATAAGCAAGTGCATTGTTGCTTAGACTGGGGATAAAACAGGACTTGGAAGACTCATTAGCTGGTGTGAATCTGAATCGCGCCTGGAGTTCTCTCGCCTGAGATAGTTGTGAGTGTGTGAGCGAGCGTGCCCTGGTCAATATGAGGATGCGTGGCAGTGCTGGTGGAGCCGGTGTGTGCTGCCAAGTGCAAAAAGGTGCCACATCTCAGTGCAGACAATAATTAGCGAGGACAGCCAAGGAAGAGGCAGGGAATGACCTTGCTAATTGTTGCTCTCCTGCACAGACAAACCCTCCTCGTGTGTAGCCACAACCTAGCCAATATTTAAAAAACCAGGGACCCATAGACATATGTGGATTCAACCAAGCCAGTAATGACCTAACATTAACTGCTATCCAAAATAATTGTATCAGCAAACCAGCTGCCACACCAGGAGACGTGCAGGTAATAAAATAAGCTAAATCAGCATTCCTCACCACTTGCCGAGAAGAGGCCATTAGTGAGTGAGTGATTCTTTTCCTCTAAGCACCACACTAATAAGTAGCAATGGCAGAAAGTCAGAAAGGATCTTTCTACAACTTGAGCTCATTACCACTAGGAGCTAGGTAATGGCCCCCCCACACACCTTTTTATGTCACATCTTGGAAGGTGGGGCTTCTACGTGGTTTAGAATGTTGCAGGCTCTCAATCAATAGTTGTCAATTGATGTCAATGCTTACTTAAGTTGAAATGTGTGGGGTGGGGGTATCTGGAGCTTTCTGCAAAACCTCACTCGAGTTTTCTGCAAAACCTCAGCCTATTATTCTACCCTCCCTCCCTCTCTGTCCCCCCTGAAAATGTAACGAGGTGTGGCACAATCCAAGTTAGAAATGTAATCAGGCGAAATGTTTCTGCCAGGCTGCTGCTGACAGCCAGCCAGCCCTTGCCTGGCTGCATCAGGCAGCGTTGGCATCTGCCTTAAATAGTGACATAGAGACAGGGAGACAGGTGGGGACCAAGGGAAATGTAGTCCCACCATTTCAAGCCAAGAGAAGCCTTTTCCTTTCAAAGTAAAGATGGAAGGTGGAGCATACCTGGAGCACAGGTAACTCTCAGGTCTGGCTCACAGGTGCCCCTTCAGGCTGAGCTCTTCCCTGCCCACCAGCTCCCTAAGTCAGACAATAGCCTTCTATTTGACATATCAAAACTGTCAGCAGGGTGGACCTCTTGCTCACCTCGCGTGGGTCAGTTCTCCAAAGATGCTCTGGTCTTACAAGGGAAGGTCAAACACGGTCGTGTCTCCTGGTTCAGAAACTCCAGAGCTGCAGCATATATGCAGGTTCTCTACTCTCCACTCTTCTCGCCTGGCCTACTTCCTCGGGCATCAGGAAGGTTGTGCTTTCCTGCAGTGACAGATCCAGCATTCCTCAGAAGTGCGTGTCCGTTTCTGTGTTCCCCGCCGTCGGAGGCTCCTGTCTTTCCCCGACTCGCCATGACTCGCCACCTCTGCACCAAAGCCCAGCCCTGAATCCCTTTGGAAATCCCAGCAGGGACTGGACAGCTTTCCAAAGATGACAGTTGTTCAAGGGGAGTCATTTGGCTCGCGTGTGTCTAGGGGAAGTTTTGAGAAAATCCAGAAGCTGGGAAGAAGGAGCCAGGAGAGATGGATAGGAATTCAGCTGGAAATGAGAACCGTCTCATCTAGGAGTTTTTGAAACTCCCACCATGGCTTTTGTAGAATGAAGCACAGAGTCGCTGGATTTTCACTCCTCACCTCTCTGCTCCCATGTGCTCACTCTCATGCTCTTTCTCTCTGTCTCTGTCTCTCTCCCTCGACCACCCCCCCCCACACACACACACCTTACGCTGACCCCAGACCATTTGTAATGTTGACTTCTTGGAAGCAGCCAGTCGAGCTTCTTACGCTTAGCGGGGTGGGGTGGCTGTTTGTCTTTCTTCCAGAGTCAGCAGTCCCTTGTCTTGCTCCTCTGGGCTAAGAAAGGAAATACCCTCCCGCGATTAGAAGAAAGTGGACCCCCAACCACAACCTGCGTGTGGCTAACAGAGGGAGGGGAATCCTGCTTCCTGTTCTCATTTCTCCCAATTACAGTCTTGCTCGACTAGTTTGGAAAAAGTTATTATTTTAGTGGTTTCTGAATCACTGAACTTGTAGCAGGAAGAATCATAAGCTCAGAACCAAAAGCTCCAAGCAGATGGTTTCTGAGATGGCTTATCCAGAGGCCACTTTCACATTCCTTCTCGACCCGAATAGAGGAGGCATCTGTGTTATTCATCCACTCAGGAGAGATGCTTTTTGTTTCAAAATATATCACAATGCAGCCAAGAATGGGGGGATATTTATGAGCGGCCCCATTATTCCCAATACCTAACCCTCTTCGTTCACCCCAACCATGTTCTTGTCAGTCCTGGGAACCCAACTGAATAATTCTTTGCATGCAAATCCTCCTGCCTGGAACATGTGTGAATTTTGCCAGATACTGCCCATATGTTTGCTAACATGAACCTCACAACTTCCCTAGAATCAGATGCATGTGACAGACAGTTCCAAGATGGCGGCCCTACATTTCCGGCCGTGGTGAAGACATGCCTTCTCCTTACTCAATCAAATGCTAATCTTGGTATGTCCATAAAGGGATTTTATAGATGTAATTAAGGTCCCAGACCAGCTGTGTGGCAAGGATGATGAAGGGCCTTTAGGAACTAAGATCAGGTCCCAGATGACAGCCAGCAAGGAAACAGGGACTGTAGTCTTAAACACACACACACAAGAGAGAGAGAATTCTGCCAACAACCAGAATGAGCTTGGAAGCAGATTTTTCCCCAAAACCTCCAGGCTGGAACTCAACCTAGCCAACTAAACTTCAACCCATGAGAGCCTTCACAGAGAACACAACCACATCACACTGGGCTTCTGACCTACAGCGCTGTGGGTTAATAAAGGGGTGTTGTTTCAAGTCACTAGGTTTGTGGTCATTGGTTACAGAGCAATAGAAAACAAATACACTACTACTATTTACTTCACTTTAAAGAGGTAGCTGGGGATGAAAGGTTATATAACTTGCCTCCTAATGGCAGGGAGCTTGCAGACCACAAGGAAGCTTTGAACCTAGAGGAGCTGGTTCCAGAATCCATGCTCCACCACCCTTTGCTCTTTGATGGCCACAGGGCCTGCA